AGACAGATGATATCAGAGAGGCGAACAAGAAGATGTTGTGAGAACGGTCAATGACCGCGGCGTGCTGTGAAGTTGCGCAGGTTTTATGGCCGCTGCAGGTGGACGGACGCTTTGTCACTATTAGCGCTGCACCAAAGTCGGGATCTCCAGACACCTCGATGTCTGAAAACTGCAGTATTTCACTGGCTGAATGTCTGGTTAACTGAGTGTCTAACTGTTTTATTTAATACCTAAGCTCATCGATCAACTACACAAACCAAACTAAATTAGCTATTTAAATTACGGCTAATTATCTGAATGGCAAACTAATAACCGAATACCTAATTGGCTGACTCTGTGACTGGCGAAACTAATTGACTCAGCCAATTTAAGCTCGCCGCCCCCGTCAATTCTCAAATTACACAAGATACGCGGGCCCAAAAATTCAAATTGTTACAAATTTTAAACTTGAGATCAACTTGAAATGTCTCATTGATGCCTAGGTATTTCAGCCAAGACTTTTAGCTGTTGTCCTGTCCCCTGCGTGTCGTTTATATTTTGTTGCATCGCGCTACAGGTACAAATTACTAAGATTCTTGCAAAACATTTCTTCAACATAATATCAATTCATCTTTGCACGAACGGCTTTTAGCTGTCGAAGCATGAAATTCTCCATCAATCTCCATATTGTGCAGAGAGTAAGAATACTTGGGAGCTTTATCTTCGCCCCCTGGTGTTCCGCGATTTCAGTAGATTCTGTTCACTGCGACTGTGTTTACAAATCTTCTGTCTCCATAACCACAGACATTTCTTGATAAGGTGGTCAGTATTATCGGAGAAATGCGTGCATTTACCACGGTCCTTAGTTAATTAATGTTACTTCGCTTCTAAATTCATTGTAGTGACCCGTGGCGGGATTTTGTGAACACAGTATCACATCTTCAGGTCCCACATAAGGTGACTAATTTATTGAATAACTGAGCGACTATCAACGTATCAAGAAGTCTTCGCCATGTATTTAGTGCACTTCTAAATTTGTGCATTTTAAATTAAAATCCTGGGCATGGCTATTAGATGACATGGGAATAAGCACTTGTCGCTAAGCATAATTTGGCGACTATATATCAAATATTTTGGATTATTAGTACGGAACATAATTCTGTTTGTAATATGACGCAGCAAACTTTAAAAAAAAAACGTTGGGAAGAAGGAGGATCCCAAAAGTCCTGTCAGGTATCATTTTTCCCCACTGCAAATTCCACGGCAAAACACGTTAAGTTTTCTTAAGTTTAACTGCGCCGGTGAAGAAGAATGATTGTTTCATATCTGCGGTTCGCGTTCTGTCCGCAAGTATCATTTAACCTGCTCATAAAAATAGAGAGTTTAAAAAGGACGTTCTCCTAACTCGATAACACGTTCTTATTTATCGTGACAAAAAAAGGTACTGAAATGTATTTTATAATTGGTTTGGTTAAACTGACGTCTTCATAAAGAATAGCTGAGGGAAATATTCCTGTTCCCCACTCATAACCGAGTTCAAGTAGCTTTACTGTGGGCGGTCATTCATAATTTATGAACATTAATCGAACCTGTGATTCGCAGTTATTTCCTCGTTCTTCAAGTTTTACATTTCCTTGTAAACTCGTGACTGAGAAATGAAGGGAAGTTCAATTTGTATATAGCACAATGTCCATTCCTAAACATAAATAACAATAGAAATAAATCATACTAGCCCACTGTGATTAACCCGAATCAAAGATTGCAGTGCGTCGTGTGGATTATGTGGCCAACTTAATTGAAAAATTTTGAAGACATTATTCCCAGCCTCTATGCATATTCGTTTGGCAGTACTGTACTGTTGACACAGCATGATGTTCTTACTGATTTAATAAATGGAAACAAAGTTGAAGATAAAAGGGAATTAACAAAGCTCAGGATATGGTCCAGAATGGAGTTATGGGATGGTGCAGATAAACAATTGGTTTTCAGAACAGGGATTGTTCCATCAGAAGAATGATGTGGACTGACCAGTAAAGTCAATGCTTCATGAATGTAATCGAGTACACCGGTTGTTAATGTTCGCTCACGCCGTAAAATACACGACCAACCTTCATTTATGCATACAGAAATGAAAGATAAAAACTAGGAGGTTCATGTCTAGTTGGAACTAGCTCAGCGTATTCCGTTCTTTGCAACGTGCATTTGGAGTTATTAAATCCGTCTTGTTCGGTGGTTTCCACTTTGACCACCAGATCGCAGCACCTCAGTGTCCACCTCACGAAATTCCTCATCCCTGATTTTGTTGGCACTGCACGTAGGATATTCAGAAGTTAAAATGTTTTTGTGTTTAATTAAATCATGAATTGCGTATATTAATTGTTTCTTCTGTCTTCGGTGCCCCTAACACCATTTTTCCCATAAAGTCTGAACTTGGCGAATCGCGGGTGGGACGAGGGTTCAAGAACGTAACTCTTGCTAGTTCCGACGGGGGCGCTGTAGTTTACGTATGAATAAAAATTAGTTGAAACTCGTGGTCAAGAGCGATTATTAACAACAATTAATACGTCATCAACGTGTCAGACATTTTTTCAACAGGAGTATTATTTTCTTGAGGTGTAATTTTGGAATTTTGTCTGTATGCGGACAGGGTAAAGTTTCTGTAGTTCTGTACCCCTTGGATAACCACATTCTCATTTACAGCTTCTCATAAAATCTTCGTTGAAGTTTATATCGAGTTTTAACGCTCTTGTTGAAAGGGGCTAAAAAAATACAAGGGCTCTTCACACCCTCCAGTGACGTTCTGCCTAGTTTGACACGTACGAATTTTTCAGTCTGAAATAATTCTCCCTCCAGAGTGAGTGTACCTCAATTATTGTTTGCTGCTTGTAGTTCACTGCATATTTGCCACTATCTTTCTCTCTCTTTCTGCGTGTTTCTTCGTTTATCTTTGTCTCTCTTGTTTCCTCTTCTACAGATCTCTCTCGTTTCCCCCCTCATTATTCGTCTGGCTTGCATAACAAGAGAGTGTCGTTAAAAACTGATGAGGATTCAGCACTGAAAATTGAAACTAGTTTAAGAGCAGATCCCGAAGAGTAACAAGAGTTTGCAGTTTCATGTTCTTGCTGTGTGGGCCCCCCTGTTCTTGTTGAATTACGGTACAGAGTAATATTAATGCGAGTGAATTTGTATCCTGTTTCGTATGCACTTTCATGCTTCGTTAAACACGTTACTGGGTGCATCAGAGGCTTGTTCAGAATTAACAGACTAGATCGTCAGTATCTTCCTCGGTTGTGGCTGTGTTTTAAATCAGCCTCAACATTGACAATTTTACACTCTCAGGTTGCGAGTATGAATGTCTTTGTACTCACTGATAGTTCGAGAAATGATCCACCAATTTGTACAAAACTCGGCATGTTTATTTGTCGCGACGAGAAAGGGAAAATTGGAGGTCAAAAACTGCGGAAAAAATTACCCGGTGATGAAATTCCCGTAGCCCAGGAACTAACCACGATGGAAGAACAGGGGCAAGACCAATGTTGTTTTTTTCTGGACTTAATCCATCGTTTACTGTATTAAAATGCAGCCGCAATATTTCAGAGGTTGGCTCTGCTCCCGTCTTCAAGGCATAAAACCTATTCTTTTGGGTCCTCTGGAAGGGAATAAGAGAATTTGCAGACATTGGGAAACACTGGGAGACCGACGTCGATGCAGAATTCTAAATCATGCAAAGACACGGTCCTGGAAGAACGGTGCCAAGCGTCACGACGCCTATTGTCGCGACGCGGACTTAAGATTGCGT